CATAAAACGTGCAAAAAGGCTGCATCTCTCTGACTCATTTCTGCCTGCACTGCGTTCCGTTCTATCGTTAGTTCAACGTCAGATCGTTGCTATGGTAAAATCATTGTACGCGCGAACTAAGCCCGGGTATCTTGGCATGAACGTGAAAAACGAAATTTGCGCAAAAATAAAAAATTGAAAAAATGATCGGGGATCAAACATGGGGGTCGTGGCAAGTGGTCCCACGGGTGTTCGAAGGATTTCCCGGGAGTAATTGTACCCCTGAGAGAAATATTCACAAATTTCTCCAACTTTGGCCTTACTTGGTGTCAATTTCTTGCTAGAAGACAATACAGAGCCGTATATACGAATGGCATATGGATTTTTCAACAATAAATTAGGGTTGATGCTCATATTATAGTCTGAAATGTCATAATGTGTCATTTCCTGATTTTTTTTCTAGAGATCTAAACTGGATCTAAATAATTTTTGGAAAAGCTTAGCCTAGCGTAAGAGACCAATAGCATAAGGTTTTATTTTTGGAGAAATCTAATTTGTGGCCCTAAAGACTACATATTGATGTGTATTACCACGGAAGTCACATTGATTATTGCTACAGAAATAAATCGTAAAGCTCAGTCGAACTATTGGGAACAAATAAGGTGTGAAGGCAAAGAATAGCAAAGCAATGAGAGGAAAAATCAAGATGCAAAACTATTTTAGGATATGCGTAATGTTGCTGCTGTGTTTAGTTCCAAATATTTTGGGAAAAGCTGTACTTGTTCCAGGAAAAACAGACAGTGGAGATGTAGAGAAGAAACAAATTAATGCTCAATCACATATACTGCAAAATCAAAATTTAAATGACGTTGAAGAAAACGATATGAACCAAGGTAATGCTAATAAAAAAAATTCAGATACACTTCGAGTGGAACCTATGCAAGTGGAAGAGCCACTCAAAAAACTTGACAAGGAAGACCTTAACCCACCAGACCATCTTGATGCAGTTAGAATGGAGCAAGATGGACATCTTAACAAAGATTGGCGCAAAGAAGTCTTTCTCGGGGAACATGAAGATTTTGATCAAAGCACCAGAGAAGAACAAGATCAAAAGTTAAAGATGGTGTTTTACAGGTACATGTAGCCATTGAATTTGTGAAATGTCAATGAATTTTGCTGTTTGAAATGTTCCTGTTGTTGGTTGTCTTTTTGTATTTTTATAACCTTCATATTTATTTATTTTCCTGTGAATTTTCAAGATATATTTCAAATTCTAATATGATACTTGACATCACAATATTAATAGACTAGATGCGAGCAGAAATAATCTTGATTTAGGTTATTAAATATTCAAAATTCAGTACATCTAAAAATATGGTTTCGAAAATTGTCTATCAACTTTGAAAATTTGATTTTTTTGAAAACGTGACTTCTTGTTCGAGTTGATTCCCCATAGACCCCATGTTACAAAATCACAAAAAGTAAATTATCTTCTCTTGTATTGGACAGATAACATTTTCTTTTATTGGACATATTTTAATTTGCATAACTATTAGATACATAAGGGTTATATGAAAATTGAACCATGCAAATAGATGTAATTTAAGTTAACAGGAACTTTCTACCATACCCGCCATGCTATCTGACCCGAATGAGCCACCTGGTGGTGAATCTGGTAACTACCTACTCGCATCTGGGTTATTAGAACAGTTGATTTACTGGTCTATAATGGCTCATGGAGTAAGTATGACCACTAAATTCCATCAACGCTAATGGTTATTTTTCTGATTTGTTTATCATAATTAGAATCTTAAAACAAAGACCTTGATTCTATTATTTATGGTAAATATATGACCTCAGATTTTATTCTGGCCTTTTCCAAAGACCTCAACTTCTAATGTGCGATTTTGGTCTTTTAACAACGAGCAGAATAAAATTTTAGGTCATATATTGTACCATGAATCATAGAATCTCGGTCTTTATTCCTTAAAGAATTTGTGAAATTTAGAAATTTATTTATTGTTGTCAGTATGTTGTCAGTGTATCTAGTGGAACATGTATGTTTAATTATAACAAAGTTTGGTAGGGATATACAGGGAAGCCATCCATCTGTCTTAGTCAGTCCATCTGTCTTGATGAAGTTCAGATACTAGTTGATAGATTTTCTTCATATGTAGTAGAGAGATGTATATCGGTGAATAAATGTATGCAAAAAGTAATCATTTCAAAATGGCCGCTGCTTTAAAAATAGTGGGAATTGTTTGCAAAAATCTAAGTTTTTCATTATCAACCAAAGTAATGAATATTAACTTTTGAAATTTTGGTAGTATAATCACAACATTATATATTTACAGGTCTAGTATTCAGTATTTTTAAGCGTGACCCCCAGTGGCCATCTATGGAGTCCCGTGTATAGATCTCAAATAAAAGACAATTTTGTGTGGATTGCAAATTTTGTATCATTTTTTCTGATTCAGGATTTTGCAATAATTTCCTGATCAAAGTAAAGCCATATAATAATATTATACTCAAATTGAAGCGATCTGAAGTAGATCACAATTATGGTATTGTTTCATAAGTTCCAGTACAACTTTTGGTCCTTTCCCTTTGGGACTCATGCTTAGATAGTGATATCGGTTCTTGAATGGTGGGGGGAAAGGGGGTATTAGACATTATTTCTTTTCAGGTTAGATCACGGTTTTGGGATACATGGGGTTTGTTTTTTCTTGACTGGTATGCACTTAGAGTTTGCTTTTCTTGCTAAGTTCCATTACAACTTTTGGTCCCTTCCCTTTGGCACTCGTGCTTAGATATTCACTGATTCGTGCCAATGAAAATTAAAAATGGCTGTCTAAAGTTGGAATTCGCAAAAATAATTTAGAGATCTCTTCTATACTGTATCAATACCAGTATTGTCTTTATGATTTGTGCCTTTGAAACTCCTACATTAGGTCACCCAAATGTTTAAATTGGTGGAAATTCTGATCTCCAATGTCCGTCTTTTATTATCTGCAAATCATGGGTAGAGAAGACATAACATAACATTATGGCATACAGATTCATGAATATTTTTTTGGGAGTTGCCAATTTTTAGTTTATGACATTCAGATGTGCATTTTGTCTTTTTCAGAGTGGACACAGATAAAGATGCACACATAAGCTACACTGAGATGGAGACCTGGATACAGTCTAAGGTCAAAGAACATTTTGATGAAGCTGCTGAAGAGAATAATAGAATCTTTAAAGCATTAGATACAAACAAAGATGGTAAGACAGATCATTTTTGAACAGCCATGGGAGTTAAACCGGAATTTTCTCCAGAAATGAAGGGTTTCCCCTTTACAAATATTGGTTTCAAATAAAATATCAATACTGGTAGGCCTTCTGTAATTGGCGTAAATTCTGATATATATATTTGCTGCCTTATGTACAATAACAAAACTTTAATCTTGTTTTAAAAAGGCAACCATACATCCAGTATAGGTAATGATACTTTGAATATTTGTTGCAGGTTTTGTTTCATGGACAGAGTACTGTATCCAATTTCTGGTTGCTCATGGATATGACCAGAAAACTTCAGAGAAATACATGGAAGACTATGAAATAATAGAAGTGAATGATGAAGGTATATTGAATCTGTGAATGTCCACACAGTTAGTAATAAGACCAAATGGGTTGACCACATAGAGATTTCACTGTTCAGAAATCTCAATATTATATCAGGATCAGACTTCGGCTATGGTAGACTAGTATTTTCCAAATTGAAAATCTTTGTTGAAATGTTGTGAAGTGTGAAAGGGCCTCTTTTTGCAAGTGAAACACAAATTCAAAGATCTAGTATGAGAATTGATTATTGAATCATTCTTTGCAAATACTGAGGACTGTACAATTATATAGTTTATATGTTAGACAATAAATTGTATATTATTTGAAGAAAGCATTGGTATTTTTATTCAGTACGAGATCATATGGTGAAGAATAAGTTTCGCTGGTCCGAGGCAGATGAAGACCCTATGGACAACCAGCTGAACTTAAGCGAATTTAAGGCATACAGACACCCAGAGCAAAGCTTTAGAATGCTCGACAACATGGTCAGGGATATCCTAGAGAGTTTAGGTCAGTACATTATAATCCATTTGATTTCTGTTTATCAGTGCATCGTGAAAATTCTAGAACACAAGCACATTGCAATGTAGAGATTGCAATGGAACTGTGATATATGTACGGTATGTATGTATGTATATATTTATTGCCCTTTATATAAAGGGGACACATGTATACACATTATGTAAATGTTAAATTGAAAATGATCACTATTTACAAGCAAACAGTATTGTTGCGTTTTGACTGACAGCGACGCCAAGCTACCGCATAGACTCACACTGCCGATGGCATTTGATCACATTAAAATGAGAGACTAGTTTAGTTTTGGGGACAATTATCTTATTCCTAGAAATCTTGCATGTGAGAATCATGATGAATATTCGGTCTGACATTTGTACAAATAATATAATGTAGCGTGTAATCAATCAATAGATTAGCATTGACAAAAAATAGTTCTCATGATCCTTTCCCACATCATTGGACATTCAAAGTTCCAGTCAATAAAACGCTAAAACCTTAGATTTAAATTCCAGATGCTAATCATGATTCAATATTGACGGAGCAAGAGTTTATCGCACTGCCCCCTGGTGAGGTTGAGTCTGAATGGCGGGAATCTGACAAACTCTGGCAGGATGAGAGACGTAAAGAATTTCAAAATACGATTGATATTGATAAAAATGGAAAAGTTACAAAAGATGAGTTAAAGGTAAGGAGAATGAATGCTTGTATAAGAATGTTTGGAAAATAGCATGGGCTAAAAAGTGACTAAAAAGTTGACTGGCTCTATTAATGAAATACAGTAAAATCTCTCCGACAAGGAATAGTTTTCAGAAGAACCTAATATTTTCCATTGACTTACATGTTAACATACCCTCTCTGTAAGGAACACCTGTTAACTGGTAACAATGAACAGTGTTTTAGGGCAAAGTTAATAAATTTACCTATTCACAAGGAACTTGGAAAATGAATATGTGAATGGATGGCTTAATCCAATATGTGATTCTAAAGAGCTTAGTTTAATATGAATCAGATTAGAATAAGCCGAATGTTGACTACAGCTGCGACATCTCTACCTCTGTTAATTACCCCAATATTGTTTTAATTGATCCGTTTTAACAATAGATAATTATCCCATCGAACAAAGTTCGGAGGGATATAGGGAACGCCTCTGTCCGTACGTGCGTACATACATCCATCCATCCGTCCGTCCATCCGGGCAATAACTCAAATACCGTTGGGCCGATTTTGTTCATATTTTGTACACATATACCCAATGGGGTAGAAGTTCTGCTCGAAAACCGATTGATTAAGCTAGAAATGTAAATACAGAAGAAATACATGGCAGCCATCTTGAAAAATGGCTGCCTTTGCACGTCATTTTACGATTTTTGCTGTAACTTGAAAAGTAGTGGAGCGATTTTGTTCATATTTGGTATGTGAACACTTTAAGCATGGCACAATGTCTAATGACATTTTTGGTAGTAGCTGGCCATTTTGAAAAATGGCCGCCATTTTTATGTGTGTTATTTAATATTTTTTACTTTAAGTCAAAAAATAGTGGAGCGATTTTGTTCATATTTGGTATGTGAATACTTTAAGCATGGCCCAATTTCTAATGACATTTGGTTAGTAGGCGGCCATTTTGAAAAATGGCCACCATTTTTTACGTTTTTTTTCGATAACTTGAAAAGTAGTGGAGTGATTTTGTTCATATTTGATATGTGAATACTGTGTGACACTTCACGTAGTAGGTGGCCATTTAAAAAATGGCTGTCATTTTTACATTTTTTACTATAATTAAAAAGTATTAGAGCGATTTTGTTCATATTTGATATGTGAATACTTAAGCATGGCACATTGTCTAATAAAATTTTGGGGAGTAGTCGACCATTTTGAAAAATGGCCACCATTTTTATGTGTGTTATTTTACATTTTTTATTATAATTCAAAAAGTAATAGAGCGATTTTGTTCATATTTGATATGTGAATACTCATAAGGATTGCATACTATTTTATGACATTTTAAGTAGTAGGCAGCCATTTTAAAAATGGCCAGCATTTACATTTATATGTGGCTACTTAAAAGCATATTACTTATTCTGATGACAACTTGGCTAGTGAGCAACCATTTTGAAAATGGTGGCCTTTCTTATGATTCTTATTTTATTGATATGTAAAAATGCCAGTCATTTCTTTTCGATGGGATCTGCTACGCTTTGGCGTGGCGTTGCCGTTGTTCTGGTTTTGACTGCATTAGATTATGTACAATTTACCAGGGTGCCTGCAAAATGTGTAGCTATGAAAAAATATTTCCATCCTATGTATAGAACTGACCTTTATGTGATTCAATCAAAACTTTGTTATCAACCTTTAAAAGTATAAATCTCTATGTATGTATGTATAAATCCACCCTGCAAAAACAATCATGGTTGAGTGACATATTTAATTTGATGAATTATCTGCACTTTCAGCAATATGTAGACCCACTGAATATCAACCATTCCAAGACTGAAGCAAAGAACCTTGTGGATATTGCTGACACTGATCATGATGAGAAACTCTCCATTGATGAAGTTATGGAGAACAGAGATATATTCTTAGGCAGCAAAATGATGGACACTGGAAAGAGTTTCCATGATGAATTTTGAAATATCACTAAGTTTCATGTTATTCTCTAGCTTAATTGATTTGAGTTATACAAAGCTAGATATTGCTGAATAGGGGAGAAGAGAAACACAGGACAAAATGCTGAATGGGGAGGAAAGAAAGCAATCCAAGATTCAAATGCCTGGAAGGCCTTTTGAAAAATAATTTCCATTTTTACACAATCTAAAAATTGTTAACAAAATCGTTTGAAAGTTGTAAAAAATGTTTGAAAACCTTTGTATGTATGTTATTTCTGTATGTTCACCAAACTCTTGTGATTGAATATTTAAATTTTAAGTTGAGCTGATGTAGGATACTGTTTTTATCCTTACTTGAATTCCATTGAGTGCAGTCATTGAATCCTTCAAGTCAGTCTAAAAGGTATGGCAAAGGTACAGTAATTGGGAATATTTATTTTGCCTTTCTCACATGCATGACAATTTTATCCAGGAATTTAGATATTATTTTTATCACACTTTTTCATATTGCACTTTGAAAAAGTGCCATATTATTATTATTATCTTGTGCTTATGGGTGACGGCCATTCAAAGTGTGATATTTTCAATTGTGTCTTGTTATGCAGTGTGCTGCTATTCAGAAGTCAACAAAATTAACCAATGGGAACTTTGGAATGGTCTCCTATTATCAACAATTGTTGAAGAATAAAGATAATTTTGTTAGTGTGAAGAAAGTAAATGATGATTTAATGAAGATTTGTTTTTTTCTTTATATTCAAGTGAAAGACAAATCAACATATTAAAACGTCATTATATGAGGGTAGGGCTCAAACCATGTTGAAATTTTCCACAACTGTTGATGATTAGACACCATCCAATATTTGTGCAATTGTTCACAAAAAACACTTTTGAAAAAGCACCTTCACTGGGATTTGAACCCAGATCATATACATTCTACCAGGGTTATTATCAGGGGATGTTATTGGGAAGTGTCAACTAGATACTCCCTATGTAAATATAAAATCTGTTGTTGAGATAGTAGACAGCTTTCAATATAAGTTATTTGGAATACGTATACTTGTACTTGTATAGCAATGGGGAGGAACTCTGGAAACAAAGATTAATTCTGCCAATGCTGGGATATTCACAACAAATCAATTCCCTCATTTAGGAAATGAGAAAACATTTCCTTATGAAATGTTCTTTCCTGGTTTCTTGAGAATCCTTCCTCCCCAGTGGTGTTTACGTCGTTTACAACTTAAAATTGCAGTATAAATTTGACTGAAAACTTATGTCGAAAGCTCTCTCATACTTAGCTAAATGTACACTGTTGAGATATACAACATTCTTGAACACTTTTTTCCAAACAAACATTTAGTTATTTATTGTTACATAGTACTCTATGCTCCATTTATCAGTATCAATATCTCTGTTTATTATTCAGCATTCATAGAAACAGTATGTATACCTACTTCATAGTACTTAATGCTACAATAATATTTAATGTGCCATGATGTGTACAGGGTGTTTCATATGTATGCACCCCCATAAACTCATATATATAGTATCGCCAACCTATCATGTTATATATCATTTTATTTCTTATGGAAAGTTACATAGAATTGCAGTTTCAGAATCCAGGGGTGTCCCTGACAAAATATACTTGGTATCAAAGTTTTCGGGTATGGGGTCATTTAGACAAAATATCCTGTACTGAACATTTACCCAGAAACATTCTGACATTCTTTTCTATATCAGCTATTAGTGCTATCCATTGTTGACATTTTACTTCCACTTGTATGTTTACACATAGCAGGGTTTTTAACCAAATTTTTATCATCTTTCTTCAAAGTGCTGCATTGTTGTTGTCTGGTGCTACTGGCTGTAGGTAGGCCACATATTAATCTTGTCATTCGTGGAAAACTGCTTATATACTCACTACTTTTACAGATGCAAGAGCAGACTAGCACCAAGATCTGATTAGGTTTTGGGGATGCTAGGAATATAACTTGGTGGCCATTTTGAATTTTTTAATAAATCTTGTGATCTTTATCACTTTGTGTGTAGCTATATTTTCTCTAAAATTGAAAGTTCGTTGAAACAGGAATCCTTAAACCCTGAAAATAATCAAGAAAAGGGACCAGGGATGATTTTACATAAGCAGAAAGGAATCACCAAACAGATTGAAGTTTCTATGATGTGAAATGTGTAATGTTTCCATGACTACATTAAATGATCTGCTATTTGAGCTATTTTAGTTTGAAATAGTTTTTTATTTATGCATTTATATATTGAATGTCTTATAGTTGAGGTTGAAGTTTGACACAGACCTGTGATCCTATGAGTTGTCGAATTATAACTTATTGCATAATGTAAATGTGAACATGGTGGTAAGATCAGCTCCACACTGAGGGCTCAAGATATGACGAGGTCTTGTTATTATAGTATCTGTCACTACCGGTGGGGTATAAGTTCAATATATTATACAGGCTCAAAATTTTTGTGGTATTTTAATTTCATTTTAATAAAGGTTATGTCTCTAAAATTGAAGTTTGGCTGCTTTGTTTATCATGTCATTTCAGGTACGTTGTATTTTCGTTCCAAATTACCAAATCCTTTAAATTGATAAAGGAATGCAATGCCCAAATACCTGTACAAGCTATTTTCTAATATATGGACCTTTTAAGATTTAAGCATTTGTACAGAATTTAAAGGAAATTGAAATCAACACCTAGTCAATTGACTGTTTATGCGCTAACATGAGAAAATATTTCGTTTTGCTACTGTTAACAATTCTGGTAATATATCAATCCCGATATCAGAATATGCGCGTTTTGATTCAGAGCACGATTTTATTACAATTCCAGTATAATAAATGAGCCATCGATCATCAGAAAAGAGATTTATCACACCCGATAAAACTTGACCTGTAACACAAAACTAAGAAAAATCTCAAAAGATGAATATGGATGATGAGACCTGTTTTCCAATGATTAGGCCCAAATGTATGATGTTTGTATACATTTCATTTACTTCGTCCGTCAAAGTAGAATGCATGAGGCTATTACTGAATGGATTCATAGCCAAATTTAAACCAGTCGAGCATAGAAAAGTCAGGCATTTATGAAGCTGGGTATAGTGAATGTCTGTGCATTTGACGATCCAAAGTTGGGGAATATGCGGAGAGTTGGCTGCCTCTGCGTGCATTAGGGTCTGTTACGATACCAAAACCCCATGGTTGCTCCTCTCCACTGGCCCAGAGTCCGTATACTATCGACCCCAAGACTGACACGGCTGCACACAGGTAGAACACTACCTGCCATTCTTCCCTGGAACCCTTGAAAAAAGAATGTTTAGAATCGTATGTACCCATCATCACCGTCAGATTGCTGGCTGTACTAAAGCGAGGGGAGTTGTGCTACACTAATTAACGTTACACTATGTACACGTGCATTTATTTTGCCTGGACGTGTTCGCGGGATGTTCTTACGTTTACTGTGAGGAGTCCAACCACATTTGGTGCAACCATTCCTGTTATGGTTGCAATTGTGTTTGTGATACCCATCAATACCCCAGCATATCTGCAAGAAACAACGTCAACATGCTATATTTCTGAAAATGTTTTTCAGAGTTGAATTTTGTATATTATTTCTCTGGGATACGTTTCAAACTTTGTTACGTTGACAGTTGACAACATACACTTTAACTGTCACCATGACAATTGACCGACCATTTCTGTCACGTTAACAGTAGACCCCTCCCCGTCAAGTCGGAAGTTGACGCCATACCTGTCACGTTAACAGTTGATGGCATCATGCCATTCCTGTCACATTGACAGTTGACGCCACACTTGTTACGTTGACAGTTGATGTTCTACTTGTCACGTTGACAGTTGACGCCTACTTGTCACATAGATGATTATACTACTGGTCAGTATTGACAGTTGAGGTCATACCGATCACGTTGATTGCTGACGCTATACCACCACACTGTCACTTTGACAGTTGACGCCATACCTGATATGGATGGAGCAATGTTTGCTTCAAATAAAATGTGTTACATGATTCAAGTTTATCACTATTGATGACATAAAGTGGTTACCTTGGTGTGAGATCGACGTGGTTTATCCCGAATCCTGGTCTATTGAGGCCTGTTGTCATTATGGCCAATGTCATGCATCCCGCCACAACGTATCTATGCTCACAACCTAGCTGACTGACAACCAAAAGAAATGCTGTTGGTATCAGAAACCCTAAATGAAGAAATTAGAATGAACAAAAGTTACCGAGCACTTTCATCTAGAGATGAAATGGGCGTGGCACACGAAAAATGTAAATGTCTTCAATTTCTTTTATGAGCCTACTTTTTTAAAAGCCCTAGCTTTGTCATAGATCATGGGCTATTACGAACCTAAAGTTTGGAATAATTTCCTCGTTGCAGTGGTCGTTAAAATTGACCTTTCCCTTAGTTTATCTGCCAGGAAACCGCTGCCTACAGCTGTGAAAAACATGCAGAGGTAGGGCAACGCTGACAGGAAGCCATTCTGAAAATGGGGTGTATGATGATAATATCGATGAAACAGGTTTAGGAGCTATTGAAGAACAAGAAAAACATCGGTGCGCCTGCAAGATGCGCTGTCATTTTATGGCTTATCGAAACATTTTATTAGATACTTGCAAATAATCAAAATTGCATTTTCAAAAAGTGCATTCGAGCATTCGGCTGGGTGCGTAGAGGTTCCTCTGGACAACACATGATGTTGATATCTTTGTGTTTTAAAATGTGGTTCCTCGATGAATTTTGACAAGTTTAGACGATATGTAATCGAAGTTTGGCCTTTTTATACAACGGTTGCACATTAATGAAGGCCACCATGTATACATAGATAACTTAGACGGATACCAGAAAACATTAACAAGACAAATCAGAATGGGGTGATAAATGTTGGGTCCGCGCATTATACCCATTAAACCCAGTATACCGACGCGCATTATACCGAAACCCATTACACCGACGCGCATTGTACCGAAAGGCGTGACCGAATGCCATAATCACTGTTCCACAACTAGTTACTTTGACGGAATGTCAATGTAACAAAGTGGATAAATTCCTGGTTACGAATTTTTGCTTTCTCGATTTAAACCTACTAATAAGTCAAGTTGCAGATTATAATTTGGCCCAAAGTTAGAAAATATAGCCTAGTTTTAATAAGTTTCTTCGATTTGAAATTTGTTTTGTAAATGAAGCTGTAATTCATAAGCCCCTCGCTTTGATTACATTGACGAAAGCCCGTTATATTACCAATGTATGTTACTTTGACGACTTACGTCAATGTAACAAAAGCGATGGTCTAAATGCACAAATTACAGCTTTATTGGAAAATCAAATTCCACACCGAGAATATTTCTAAAAGCTAGACTATATTTTCTAACGTTGTGCCAAATGATAATCCGCAACATAAGTTTTAATCGAGAAAACAAAAAACACATATCCAGGAAGTTCAGTTTTAAAAGATAGAAGTTGGTAGCTTCCTCAATAACAAGGCATTATATTTAGACCCAAGATATTACCTTCTAAAAAGTGTAACAAGTGTTACAGATGCCAAATACTGTCCCTTGATGCTGGTTTCGAAAACATGGTGGCTTTAACAATATGTCAACACTTCTTGTTGTAGTGGTATAGAAAAAGCTATCTCTTTGGAAATGTCCTAACAAAACATTTGGATGTCGTACATCATAACTTTAAGGAAATATAAGCCAGCTCGGTTATCAAATAGCAGGAATACGGTAAATGTTATTTTTACAAACAGATTTGAATTAGAGTAAATAAACAGTGATGTTTGGAGCCTATAATTGAGATGAATGAAAAGTGACAATTCCACATATGCACATTATGATGTGCAATAGCCAAATATGAATATCCGTCCCATTCATTTTTCATGTATTCATTTTCTGTTGATCTGTATTGTAGTGTACATTGTATGTACAATTGTTTTTATTTGATAAATAAATAAAATAATTATAGAAGAAACAAAAGTTTTCATTAGTGGAACATACATTAACAGTTACCTTTCTCAGGATTTATAAAATGCTTCAATGGGGATTTATAGCCCGACCATTTTTAGAAAACTTGAAAATCTCTAGATTTGAATAAAGGTAAATAACAGTGCAAAAACTAAGTTGTTTTGATAGAAAATTACACACAGAATTCAACAGAAGAAAATGTTAGTCTTTAGTTGTTAAAAATCCAGATCTCCTAAAATCTCATTAAAACGAAACCTGAACGACATTTCGAAGCTATATGGAAAAGCCACTATTAGATAGTAAGATGCCTTCACTAGGCTATTCTCTGTACTTGTGTTCGTGCCTCATTTTGAGTAGTGAGTGTAAATTCTTTTCGGAAACATGATTATGTTTTCCCTGAAATATGAATTGGAGATATCTGACAAAATATAGCCTTAAATATAAATTTTGTGTTTTGAACATGCGGAAATATCTTGAACACTTTGAAACTGAAGTACAGTTCCTTAATAGGTCGTTTAGTTTGCTTGTTTTTGTTGTACACAATACTTGTGTTTAATAGCCACGCGTAATTATTATAAGCGTAATCAGATTATTTCAAGCGTCGAAATAGCTTATTTTCCTCGACGCATCTACAAATTCTACACAAACCTATTCACTTACCGTTATATTGAGCGATCTAGATGCGTCAATTATAATTGTTTTCACTCATCGGCTTTAGTGGCCCGCGATACCTTTTATTTCATTCATATTTGAGACGCAATTGATACATTGGCAACAAATCATCAAATGTTCTTGATGATTCTTCTTCATTTTAAAATGTTTCTCCTATCCGATTTTCAAAGATGTGTCTTAAATATTATACTTCACATTGATCACGATTCTTGTACTTTCTGTCTTTACGACCTCCGTTCACATTTGCAAGAGTTGTTGATTGCATTGCCTTGATCATTGGTCGAACTTCGATTCCAACTAAATTAGATTAATCAATTAAGAAATGTAATATCATGTTTATCCAAGCAAATAATTGTAACAACTACATTATTTTTTAGCAGTTTTGACACCTAAGCAGGGTAGCCTAGTGGCGTAGACTGAGGCTACTTTGTGGTTGAACGTCGTGGGATACGGAGGTCCCGCGTTCGAGCCCCAGGTACGGAGTTGTTGATCATTGTCACTACGGACACCCGGTCCGAAGGTCCAACCGTTTACCGGCCCTTGGCATGGGTTGGTTCTCTGGCCGCTCTTGCCGGAGACAGATTGTGAGACTGTGGTTGGTTCCTCCACTAACGTGCTTTAGTAAACTCCGGAAGTCATATAGTATGGTAGCGGGCCCCCACCAAGGGCAGTAGTGGAACGACGCGAATCGGTCCCAGTATGGTTGCCTTGCAACTGAAGAGACTCGAGGAAATCATGCCATTCGCAGTGACCCAGAAAAGACTTTTGCTTCTTGATTTGACGTTTTAATTCATTTATTAACATACTTTATTTATATTACTTTTCAGGCAGTTATGATATTTATTGGTCAAATGAATGAACGAGACATCTAGATACTATTAAATACATCTAGATAGTATCAAAACCATAATTCGATTTGTCGGACATATATAAAATAACACTTGAAAACACAACACACATAGTTGCAATATCCGTAGCATTTGGCACAGTCGGGTCCCATGCGCTATCATTTTGTCGTGCGGTCATCATAAGATATGGAGGTACGGTTGATTGGACCATGGGCTTTCAACAGAGTCAAGAAATTTGCATGGATACTTTGAGAAATGAGGTAGCAACAAAAGGAAACACCAGAAATAATCCAGAAATGTCCACACCATTGTTTTCGTTAGTTATGGCAAGGCCCCGGAGGAAAAACAGCATTCGTGGGTAGTTTAATTTTTGTATCAATTAGTGCCATGACTTTAACTCAACCAAGAACAGCGGGGCAAAGTCCCTATGGGTCCCAATTGAGAATCAATTCAAATCAATCAAATTCAGATTCAGATCACCTGCTAAGCCTAGTATTGATTTGCCCCTAAATAGATATTAAAGGGACGCTGAATATTGGAGTTAGTTAATGAGCACCATACTGCCAATTAAAACATGTATTCAATGTTTCAATATAATTGAACTATATGTAACTGAAATATTGGGAAAAATAATTGATATTTCGTTTGTGGAATGAAAACTGATGATGAAGATAATATCAGTAGATAAAAACTGTATAGCAATTTAAACATGGAAATGATGCCAATTTAGAAGTATTATAGTTAAGAATTTGTGAAATGGTTAGAAAATGAAATTACTTCAGAATTAATATGATCATTGAGGCACACATTGATAAAAATCACACTTGGGTTTGGAAAGATTTAAAGTAAAACAAATGAATGCATTTCTTACTATCTCCATGACAACATATCTTGCTCTCTCTCTCCATGACAACAATTTTGGCCCCATCAGCACAAGATCGAAAATACAGTAATGATCAAGTTCAATAAGAAATGTGAAACTTTACATTTATTTATTTCTACCAATGAAACAATACATACAGTATAAATAAATGTTTACTTCATTGAATACAGAATTTACCACAGTTAAATATATTTTATGAAGTACAGGGTTTACCATAATCAAACATAAATAACAGAATGATGACTTTATGCTCTTTGAAATACAGAAATTGATGGTTAACTGGAATTAAGTTTGTCGAGACGAACCCTCAATCCGAAACGCCTAGCATTAGTTAAAAAGTTTCTGGCCGCAACTGTGATGTAAAGATGAAAGATTTTAAATTAGGCCTAAGCTTTATCTGAAAATACTGTCTTTGCGCGATAAACTTTTGATTTAATACGAATATATAAAAAACAGATTGACCTCCCAGTCTCATATTAAAAAGTATTTAAAGTTTAAATATTGTGGAAGTAAATAAAAATGAATTTTTGATTTTCGAGACTTGTCTGTTCAATGAAAAAATCATGTATAATTTGAACCAAGGTGTATGATAAAGTAATATAAACTAGTTATATGCTGATACAGTAGAATTTCTCTTGGCTTTTCAACATAGCACAATATTTGACTTTTCAGGCTCAACTTTTATTATACTATGCCTATATAATGTTACTGTGCACTATCATACATGTACATAATCATGTGTCTATATGATGTTTTGAAAGAGTAAAAGAGCTAGAATCAAAGCGCCGTTCTTGCGAGTTTCAAATGAAAATATCGAAAAACGCGCGAGTATGAGGACTGCAACTTTTTATGTCTACACTGACAAAAACTTGAAATTCCCGCTGTAAAGATATAGTCCCACGCGGAAGTGCAGGTCATAAAACTAATGGCATCCCAATGGCACGGATTTCGGTACAACGCGCATCGGTAGGCCTATATTGGTTTTCGGCACGATGCGCGTCGGTATAATGGGTTTCGGTATAATGCGCGTCGGTATAATGAGATGATCCCATAAATGTGAAGCAACAACGATGGGGTTGATCAACTCCTTAGACTTGGATATGGGAGTTAAGCGACGAACATCATATCAATAAATCATAAATCAAGAGGGGTTTGAATACTCGGATTCCGTTTGTACATGGTGGAGCTGCCCATTGGTTTGTGCTTAACTGATCTATTGTACTTACTATATGTACATCAAACCTTAGCACCTCTTCCATGTAAAGCGGCATAGACGTTCCAAGTGTATAGCTGGTCCAAGAGTTGCAGCTTTGTGCAATGATGATTGCCCAAACAGGGCGAGATTTGGCAATAGATTTGAAAGGAAACTTAGATTTGCCAGCCATAAAACCAGCACTGGACATCGCATGGTACTGTTCAATAAAGAGTCTTTCCTCTTCTGTTATTCTGGGATGCGTCTTTGGGTTATCGTAGACTAAAAATGTCCAAAGTAGAAACCACAACGCCGTCATTCCACCAAAGAAATAGTAAATCATGGGCCAGCCATTGTCAATGTTAACATTACAGAGGAGTCCAGATAATGCCAAGGAGGCGATATTACCAATGGTTGTGCCTAAAATATATTTCATATCAGTTGCCGAATGACTGAACATCTAACAGGCTACGAAGAGTTACTCCTGTTTGAGACATCGCACATTCATGATAACTTCATAAGTATAAATTCTAGTGATTTAGTTCATATACAAATTGATGTCATTTTGAGTGAAACATGATCATTTTGAAGATGCAAAATGTAGTTCTATACCTGCGTAACAGAAGGTCATGAGCTTACTCCTCTCCATGATTGGTGCCCAGAACGCCCAGAGGGTATGCATCGCTGGAAATGTGACACCCTGTCAGTATAAGACAAACAATTGATGAATATAAATATTAAGAGTTCCCATATAGCTCATAAAGTTTGATTACACGATTAAATAGGATAATAATCACATTCAGAACTACTTACCAAACCTATTCCTATTACGACTCTACACGCATAAAGTAATATTATATTCGTCCGGGCACTTATAGGTGTCAGCAGTGTCGCTATTGTGGCAAACAGCATACCTGCCCCGAATACTCGTTTACCCCCATACTTCTGTGCCATATAACCACCTGGGATTTGAGTTAGAATGTATCCAAAGAAAACAGAACTCAAAAGTTGTCCTTGCGTTTGTTTGCTCCAGTGAAATTCACCATGCTAAAAGAATATACTCGAAGATAACATTTTAATTTGTAGCATTAAATATTAACGTGATTTAACCAGAAATTGCACATTTATTTTGTATGTGTATTTGAACGATTAATATTCAGAAAAATTAGACAAACTTTCTATCATTTCATATCGTTCAATTTGAACCTTATACTGCAGACTATGGGCGTAGGCCAAATATACTAAATTAGGTTGAGAAAGTAATTAGCGTTTCAAGTATCAATCGTCAGCTTTTATGAGTTTTAAATATACTTAACGCGTGTAACAAAATCGCACTGGTTTAATGATCCCCAATGTTAACAAACGTGCCATTTCATTTAATGCCGTTTGATTAAGTGACATTTTATTCATCTGATTTGAATAACATTTTAAACTTGCGACATTTTGGGCTTTGTTCACGAAAAAACAAATTCCAGCTATTAATATCATTCCTCCTTTTATTGATGTTATAGCTCGCTAAATACCAGACTGAATAATGATTTTGATACAAATAGTACTGCCATTGAGGGAAATAGTCAAACTGATATTTCATCGAGTGGATGTATCCTCTGCGATCGCCAAAAATCGGCTTTCAGTCAGGGGGGGGGGGGGGGGTGCAATTGTGGCTTAAGCGAGTCAAAAAGTTTTGTTTTGAATTTTACAAAAAATGATGTAACTTCCTTGAAAATTGAGCCAGAAGCTTCAAATAAAAAGCATTTAAAGCCCCCCCCCATATATTGCTTATGGAGGGGGGGTGCGTTCGCACCTCTCGCACCCCCTGGCTACGCCTATGCCTAACCCCATAGTCTAGACACGGGACTCCAGAGGTTTATTTTTACATAGCGAAAACTTCATTTATGATTTCTGTGCTATGTCCTTCTCTTGCCAGCAGATTAGCATGATTAAGTTCGGGGTAGTTCATCTTTTTCATAGATACAACAATAAAAAGTTTAATTACTGCTGAATAGTATTTACCCGAGATGTGTTAAGATTGTTTGAATCCCATATATCCTCATTGCATGCCATGTTGCTCTGTGATACATTAAAACGTCCATCGTCAGTTGAGATCGTTTCGTTCTTGGAACCATTGTCAGCAGTTGACACAGGATCAATTGTCATGCAGACGATGCCCATACTGAAGTTGATCCTTAGCGCATATACCCAAACGAAACCAAGGAAGCCAACAATTGCCAGCGTCCATCGACATGATGGTTCAAATATGTCTGCAGTACATTTGATATGAATATCAATTTTACAGAAATTCTATTCACATATTCATCATATCTTGATATATTAAGTCAAAGTGACTTCAACTGCTGAGGATGCTTCTTTAAACATATTCATTGATTGACACTGACATTGAGATATGTACTATATTAATTCAAAATATATTAACAAGTTTATAGAACACCACGGCACACCTTTTTGCTGTCATTATTTTAGCGTCACCCTGAAATTGATCGAGATGACACCAAACATTCGTAGCACTGATTTTCAATATCTTAATAACAGCGTGAAAAATACAAAAAACTTACTCCTTAATTTTCCTATTTTCCCATTTATTTCCTTCTCGGTGGATTGACTTTGAACAACCACATCTTCATTTAGATTTGGTGGAGTTACAACATAAACTGAACTAGATCCTTGCATGTTAGACTATTTCCCGATATATTTTGAATTATTAAATATTCAATCAAAACAGCCCTATATTCTTTAGGTTCATTAACGTACTCCGTGCCTACGTGTTGTCACAAATTCCATGCCCAATCGTTGTCAGAGACTGTGACAGGATCTCTAAAGTACATTGTACTTTAAGTGCAATATGTCAAAACAAACTGAATAATTTGTATTTTCTTAATAAAAACTGACATTTATACTATATATTTATTTAAGATCTTCAGAAAGATTCGATTTAATAAAACTGTTGAAAGGGGTTTGTTTTGTGCATATGGCATTTGAAACATTCAAATGAATAATGAAATAGACAAGTGATCTTAATTCTAAGGCTAAAACAAAATTATGAAAATATACATTTTTCAATTTGAAATTTTATTAAGTTTATTAATCAAATTTGGACAATGAATGATTTTTTATATTCTGAATGGAATTTGTTTTTAACTGAGTATATATTTCGCCATATTTTCATGATCACCAGGTTAATGTATAGTATATCAGTAATAAGTAACACGTCTGCTTCAACGTTAAGACCTAAAGGTTCCTACATGCTAATTAATACCGATCCAAGTCAAAAGAACCACTTATTTTGAAAATAATTTAGTATTCATCTATTTTCTCTCAAATTAATGTAAAATCTAGTATCAAATCTGTTTTATCTTAATACTGATTTTTAAATATTTTCCCAAATTTTGTTTCTCACTTTCCATAGTGCCGTTAAAATATAAGTGCAGAATCGCAGCATTAAAAGCAAATGACTATATCTGCATGTTGTTAACTTGGCGGGATTAAAATTCCATCATTTGATGAACAAAATCATTTAATTATATATTACATTTATAATACATTTTATTGTAATATAAATCTTGACAATTTTCAAATGTGCATGATTTTCTGTACAACCTCTTAAATAGAGGGTATTTCTCTATATTTATCACATCTGAGGTCATTACCCTTTGGAGGGGCAATATTTTCTGTACATTCTCTGTAAAATGTGGCTATCAAGTTACAAAATATGAAAAACGTTTTCCTAGATCGCAGAAAAGTGAATCTCTTTTTTACTTTTAAATAATTACAAAGCACAGTGGTCAAATCAATAGTGTGACATAAGAAACATAAACAAGCTATTATATAACTTGTTTTAGCTTTTATATTTCCATTTCATCCACCACATTTTAGATATATGGATAAAATAGGACATCTGGGAAATGACTGGACATGTTATTTTTCCCAAAAATATTTTTTTCCAGATGCTAAGAAACTTACTTTTAATACACACCTTCATACTTCTTATTTCTGAAAACTATCATCAGCAAACATTCTAGGTGAGATTCCCCCATTCCTCTGATCACAGGTCTTTAAAATCCAGAATATATTCTTTCTTTTTACCCCCTGCGATAAGCAGTTAGCATTTCCGCGATTAAGAACTCGCAATCTGATTGGATGTCGCAACACTGCAACATAAATCATGTATAAGTCATTGCGCATAATTAGATCATGTGATTCAGTTTAATTGGGCGCTTCCAAATTGGTTATAGCAGGGGGAAGAAGGAGGTACGGATTCTGGATACCTGCTTAGGAGGATGGATTCCCCAAAATCTTCATAACAAGACAATTATTGCAGTTCATTATAATTGCAAAAGTGTTTTCCATTTCATGTTCAAAGTTGATGTGAAATGTATCTGATAGAAAACCTAGTGATAAATATGTACATATAATGACCACTTAGAACATCCCTTATCATAAAAACTGAAATCAAAAAGCAGTTTGAAATCTAAATAAATAATACAATATCAATATGCTTTTATAAATTAATATTATTTTCACTTACAATTACAAATATATGTCAACAATATATCAACAATGTCTTGCTTTTTCCCATTATCATTTTTACATTTTCATCCAAATAATACAGGGTGGGCTAAAAACTATCCATACTTTTATTTGGGGAAATTTTTTTTCATAATGCATGGATTCCAAGGTCATATTCATATTTGAGGTTACAATTTTACAAGAATTATTTATCCTTTTGCAGGAACAATTGCAAAACGCGAATTCTGCATCTACATCAAAAGATATTTCAAAAATATAGGCCTATGCAATATCAAAAACAGTTATGACCAACTAAAAATGTGGACAGTTTTGTCCCATCCTGTGATTGTAGCAAAAAGTTTACAATACAAACATTTTTGTTTGGCAGTAAAAAAGGCACACATTAATACAGCAAAACTGAATGAGGTGCAATTCAGCGAGTTTTAAAAGCAGTATATCGTAAGATGTGAATGCTGCCTTAGAAACACCATCCTCTAACATAATAAGGTTCAAGACCAAGAGTTAAGTAAGAAACCAAATTGAAAATACCCATTGCCTCGTACCAGGGTGGATGTAAACATTTTATGAATGAATGGGTTCACACATGCTCTGGGAGTCTTGCAGTAAGAGTTCTTACAAAGTTGCTATTTTACCAATGGTAACTGTATTAAAAGGAATAAGGAACTAATTAAACACCAGGAGCCACAATCTGTATTCAAAGGACATGATGGATTATGCCTAGGTGAAGGTATTGAACACCTAAGGAACATTTTGTTCCCTTGTGATTACTATAAATATTTAAAATGTAACTTATTTGATAGGTTTGATCAAAGATGAGGTAATATAAAGCAATTGATGGTCCCAATTTTTCTTCTAATTTTGGACATTCACTGGGTGATGTCTTTTAGTCATTAAAAATATAAATTGAACATTAGCCAATAGGTATCATGTAAAGTAAAACTTGCGTCTCTGAAACTTTTTTGTATTTTTGTAAATTACCCTTTTGGTTTTTATTGGGTCATTGCTTTTTTACTCGATTTTAAATAAACTAACAAATCGATTTGTACATATGAGTACATACAAGATAATTTTACTAGAAAATATTACTTTGAATATTCAAGATGGGGAGAGTTGTGTGTTACTTATGACTGAGTTCAACTTTAAACACAAGTGTAATCGTGTTTCTATCCTATACATCTCCTCAAGCATTTTAGCAACTATGCTGAATTAACATGTGATATGGAAGAATACATTCGAAAATAAAAAATAACAAGATCAATGGAAGTATGTAAATAACACATTCAAGTCTGACCAACTAGAAAGTACATGTATTAATAAGCTATGTTAGAATTTTGGAAAAAATATCATTTATTTTAATAAACCAGTTTCTTTCAATGTTGGTAATCCAACATCTCTTTAATATGAACATTCTATCATTCCTTTATAAGAGCTGTGTGAAGAGTGGCAGTTGATAAAAGAGATCTGATTCCTTATGATTGCTTATTTAAAAGCATATTTGCCCAAATGATTAAGTCCATAGGACTCTGTATGGTAGTTCCAGTTAAGTAGCGCCCTCTATTGTTAGGAGCAAACTTGCAGTATACAGTGCTTGCCTCTACACATTTGGTAGCTGATAGTAGCTGTATGCAGCTGTAAATCGCTGTATGCAGCTGTAGGTTGTGCTGTTTACTATAATTTATGCTAAATAACTATAGGTGTCCTTCTGTCCATCTACTCTCTCTAAATACTCTTTTTCTATAAGAATGTCTATACATTTCTGAAAAAAAAAAAAAATATATATATTCATTAATTGTATAGTATATAAATTGTGAGAGCTCATGAACATTTTAGACTATTTGATATATAAAAGGTTTGGGTAAATTAAATATTTGCTATATAGTTTTGAAATCTCGCTGAAGTGTCAAATTGGATTTTGAGAGATTTGCATATTTAACCACTTAGGACTTCCAATGAACTCTATCTTATGACATATTTGAATTCTGTACATAATTTTTTAACTAGACTTTGCAGTTATTTTATTCTATTCGATTTCCCAGAATTTTTAACTTTTCCAAAAAAGGCTGAGCTAAATCTCCATTGATAGAATGTTAAAAATTCTTTAACATGTTGATTTATTCTTATAAGGATAACATTCTAAAGGTCAAAATCCACCTTCTAAATGTCAATAAGATTAACATTAATCCATTTGGAAATACTCAATATATCAAGAAATTAAGTAACTTTCCGTCAATTTTTCCAATTTTAAATGCTGGAATCTAGATCTATCTTAACACATGGTGTAATCTAATTGTCTGTCTATATAGTAAATGGTCAATTGGAAAACAAAAGGAAAAAATGGGAAGGTCAGCTTGAGAGAAACTATAAAAGTTGCTTTGTTGTAATATTTAAAGTAACTGTAAACTTTTCAGTGAAATAGCAAACTAAAGACTTCGTTTTCATTGCCCTAGTATTTTCAATGGATTAATACTACTTGTATTCAAGTCTTTCTTTCGATACAAAAGCCAGGTCAAAGCTTCCAAAAAATTATAAAAATATTTTTGATCGGTTCATTTTTCTATGTGTCAACTATGCACGCTATCTATTCATTCAAAAGTAATTCAAAAACATGTTGATTAAGAATGCATTTGATGTTAATGATCTTTGAACTTCTACAGCATCTTCTCCATAAGTCATTTATTTCATTTTTCGCTTCAAAAGTATTCAATTGAAGTAAAACCTCCATTTTTCTGTTCTATTTATATTTTCTTTTTGAATGTTTATGGTGCCTCTTTAACCTTACATTTACCAGGTATAAAACTTGTATTTGAACAGGACTTATGAAGCAGAACCTTCGAAGAATAACCTTTAGAACAGAAACTCAAGGTCTGAAACTTGCTTGTACAACAAGAATGCTAAGCTTAAAATTTACCTTTATAACAGGAACTCTAGGTTTGAAACGTGATGAGAGTTGGTTCAGAACCTCTCCCAGTAACTGCTGATGCTTCAACATTTTACGCATCTTCATTATTCGCACTATGGCAGCCTAGAAAAGAAAGGATTGTCTTACATTATACAATACTGAAAGGGGGTGAAGGGGTGTGAGAGGGTAAGTCAGATCTTCATAGAAGTAAAAAAATATAAATATTTGGTTCATTTTAATGATC